AAGAAAAAGTAAGAAAAATGATTTGTAAAAAGTAATGTTAAACATGAAGTGTAGCAATTTAAATTAAATAAAGGAGATGAAAAAGGAGGAGAAGAGCAAAAAAAGGATGAGATTAAGAGGAAGATGAGCAAAAACAAAGGGTTGCAAAAAAAGTGGTGTAAGACAGAAAGATAGAGAAAAAAGAAAGAGCAAAAGAACATAAAGTTAAATAAATATTCAAATAAATAAGAGACTGAAGGGAAAAAAAGTATGAGATGATGATACAATAAAATAGAGATATACGAAATGGAACGGATACGTGTGAGAGTGAATGTGTTTGTATGGGATTGCAAAAGCGAGCGAGAGAGGTTAGAAAAGGTGGAAAGAAGGGGGCGGTTTTTGGTGCGCTTTGGAAAAAAGAAGGTGAGGAGGTTAAGAAGGGCACAAGAAATTCGACAAAAAATTTGCAAGGATGAGATGCTGTAGACAGGAGGAAGAGGAAAAAAGCTGGAAAGCTGGAGCGCACTACCCTGATTATCAGAATCGGCAAAACGTGTACTCTCTGTTGGGAAATCAGAAGAGGAAGATGGAGAATTGAAAGCTTTGGAAAAAGGAAGGATATTGCCAGTAAAAGCGGTTAAAGTGTAAAGGTAGAGAGGTTCAGTAGAGAGGTTTGGTGATTGCTTTGGTTGGGGTGATTTCGGCGGTGTCGGCGGTTCAATTTCATAACACACTAGACTACAAACTCCCATCTTTCATCTCCGCGCTCACACGTCAGAAGCCTAAGTCTAAGCCTAAGCCTTCTGGTTTCCGGTGACCGAGGAGGAGGAGGATGAAGCAGAAGACTGTCGCTCGCTAAACTGAGACGCAGCGCTCGACGGAGAACCACTTCCGCTGCTAGAGCCACTGCTTCCAGAAGAGGCAAGGGCACTGCTCAGCGAGGAGGAAAGTCCACTGGAACTTCCGCCGACTGAACTTCCGCCGCCGCCGGTTCCGGAGAGGCGTTGCGTGTAGGTGGCCGTCTGCGGGTAGTAGCTGCTGGCCGCCGCCTGCAGTCCACTGTCCTGGTAGTAGTTGCTGCTGCTGCTGCCGCCGTTTCCGCTTCCGCTACCTCCCGACTGCAGCTGACTCGACCAGACCGGGCTGCTGCTCAGGCCTGAGCTACCGGAACCAGAGTTTCCGCTGTTCCACGCCGAGCTCTGGTACGAGGAGGAGGGCTGCACTGAAGCGGAGCTGTGGTAGCCGCCGTGGTAAGAGCTCTGCCCGCCATTTCCCCCGTTGTACAGTCCCGAGGACTGCTGCTGCTGCTGGGGCTGGTGGTGGTAGCCATAGGAGTTGCCTGGACCCTGCTTGCCAAAGCTGTACGAGCTGCCTAGACCGCTGCTGCCGCCTCCGTTGCCCCAGGAAGAGGAGGAACCGCCGAGGTTACCGCCGTTCCCAAAGCCGGTAAAGGCGCTCAGGTCGGCGCCGGCAAAGGCAGAGTTGGGCAGCGTCACAAAGGAGGGTCGGTAGTTGCTGGCCGAGCCGTACAGCGACGAGGAAGAGGAGGACGGAGAGGAGGAAGAAAGCGAGGAGCCAGAGGGAATGCCGCCGTACAGTGAGCTGCTCGAGCCGCCGCCATTACCGAAGCCGCCGCCGTAGAGTGAGCTAGAGCCACCGTTTCCGCCAAAACCTGGGAAAAGGTTCGAGGAGGAGCCGAATCCGCTATTTCCACCGCCGTTGTTGCTGCCGCTGCCGCCGCCAAAGCCGAAGGGGGCCGGGCGGAAGGCGTACGAGTAGGAGCTGCCGGAGCCCATGTACGGCGAGTTGGTCTCACGTCTGAACCAAAAAAGCAAAAGTGAAAAGTGGTACAGCCTAGGAAGAAAAATCATCAAAATGTCCTTACCGGTAGAAGATGGCATTGACAAAGTTCCTCAGCCGACTGGTGAGGCTGGACCGCCGTCCCGGGCCGCCGCCGCCGGTGGCCGACGTCAGCGAGCTGACCACCGATGGGGACTTGGTGAACATGTTCAGCAGCGAGCTGCCGCCGCCGCTGCTGATGCCGCCCATGCCCAGCGAGCTGGCCCAGTTGCTGGGCAGCACCCAGGCGGTGGACCCAGAGGTAGAGGGCTGATTTCCACCCAGTGAGCTAGGGGACATGATGGTGGCAATCTGGTTCGAGGCAGAGGCGGAAGGCGAAGAGGAGGCGGATGCCGAGTTGGAGGCAGAGGCGGCCAGCGCCTGCAGCAGCGCCTGATAGGGAATGCCCATGGCGCTGGGCAGACCTGAGGAGGAAGAGGAGGACGGAGAAGCATATTGCTGACCATTGGAGCCGCCCATCAGCTGAGACCGAGACTCGGGCTTGGAGGCTGACTGGGCATTGGGAAGGAAGGCACTAATGTCGTGCGTGTAGTAGGGCGAGCCGAGCGTGCCCGAGGCCTTTGGTAACAGGCTGCTGCCGCCGCTAGAAGATGCCAACGAGTCAGAACGAGGTTGATAAGAGTTGGCAGAGGAAGAGGAAGGCGAGGAAGGTGAAGATGATGCTGAAGGTGCTGCCGCCGCTGAATGATGCGGCTGCAGGAGGTGCTGTTGTTGGTGCTGGAGGTGCTGGTTGGCTCCATGGGCAGTGCCCAGAAGGAGGAGGAGAAGGCTGAGCAGTTTCTATATAAAGACGAGGAGCAAGAAAGACAACACATCAGCAAAGTGTAAAACCTCAAATGAAAAAAAGTAATAAAAACCAAGGTGTAAGGCCAAGGCCCGGAAATGATTTAGCAAGCATTCAAAAAGTTGCGTTCTCCAGTGACCAATGCAAAGAGGAAAAAGATACAAAATAGGAATTTCGACAACATTTTGCGCAATATTCTGAACAAAAATCATTCGGCAAAGAGTGTCGTTTAAGAAAAAAGGCTGTCGGAAACGAAAAAAGAATGTCTTGCACGATGTCTCCGCCAGGGTTCGATCCTGAGACCTTCTGCGTGTAAAGCAGATGTGATAACCAACTACACTACAGAGACCGTTTCTAATACTATAGTGCGCCCTGCAGCGCCTTTAAGTGCAGTGCACGGGCGAGTAGAGGCAAAGGCAGAGGAATAGAGTGATCTGCAGAGGCAGAAAGTATTCCCTCAACGTATTCCCAACCATTTTTCCTCTTCTCACTCTGCACTGCTCTCAGTGACAGTAGCGCCCGTTCTGTCTGACGAGGGCGAAAAAAAGTTGCCAAGTTTAGTTGGTGGAAAAACTCTGGCAGTCGGCTAATGCGGATAAACTCTCATATGCTAGCGAAGAAGAAAAAAATGAGCACACCAATGCACACACACACACACATACACACTGATGCTAATTGATTACCATATGAGCTGCGGCAAAAAAAAGTATCGAGCAGGACCTGAACACCTGAACTCCGCCGATACACTGCTGACCAGTGACTGGTGGCCGTGATGAGCGGATGCAGCTACAAAGAGGCAGCAGCAGCAGCAGCACTGACCGAGTATGGAGCGCGCATGGAAAGCCTACTTCTTTTTCTTCTCCCTCCTAGTTCCTCCTCAAGAGAAGAAGAAAAGAGGAGGAGGATTGAGGTCAACCATATCTGCAAAAAGTACTGTCTGAAGAGGGCGAGCAGACGGCGGACCGGCGCCCACAGCACGAGACAGGTTCCCCAGTTNGCTGACCAGTGACTGGTGGCCGTGATGAGCGGATGCAGCTACAAAACAGCAGCAACAGCACTGACCGAGTATGGAGCGCGCAAAGAAAGCCTACTTCTTTTTCTTCTCCCTCCTAGTTCCTCCTCAAGAGAAGGAGGAGGAGGATTGAGGTCAACCATATCTGCAAAAAGTACTGTCTGAGGAGAGCGAGCAGACGGCGGACCGGCGCCCACAGCACGAGACAGGTTCCCCAGTTAGGTAGTAGTAGGTAGCAGGTAGTAGGTGATAGTGACCAGAGAAGTGGAGGAAAGAAGAAGAAGAAAACGAGAAACACACCACCACTGTGCACTCACTAGTTCAACAAATTGCATAATTGCCACCAGCTAAAAATGGCCGCCTGTGGTGCTCTAGCTCCCTCTCTGCCGTTATCAGCACTGCTGCCAGACAGGTAACGGACAGAAGAGGAGAGGAGAACAGGTGGTAACGGTAACGGTACAGGCCAAGTTCACTGCCACACTGCTAATCGCGTTTAGAAGAGCGCTAGTGAGAGAGAGAGAGAGAGAGAGAGAGAGAGAGAGAGAGAGAGAGCACANCCGTTATCAGCACTGCTGCCAGACAGGTAACGGACAGAAGAGGAGAGGAGAACAGGTGGTAACGGTAACGGTACAGGCCAAGTTCACTGCCACACTGCTAATCGCGTTTAGAAGAGCGCTAGGAGAAAGAGAGAGAGAGAGAGCACATTGCGCCGGCTGCCAGCGTCAATGATGATCAACTGCTGCAACTGCGGAGGTAACTGGTCGTCCGACACAGACAGCAGCAGCAGCACCACCACCGGGATCAGAACTAGGCAAAAAGGTCAGTCTTGTTTGTTGGCGGGCGCAACACTCGCTCGCTCAACGACGTTCACTCGACGTTCACTTTACCGAAGACACACAACCTCTCTCTCTCCTGAGAATTGCCTTCCAGGCACACACTGCCGAGAAGACAGACAGACAGGGAGAGAGAGAGACTGGTGCAAGGTAGTGCGAGTTTCCGTCGATGATGGCCGTGGTGGTGGTGGTGGTGGTGGTGGTGGCCCGTCGCCGACGACGATGATGACGATGGCGATAAACTACCGCCAAGTGCTGAGAAAGAGAGACAGCTGACCGGCTACAACAGTTCATATCTATTTTAAGCAGCAGCAACAGCAGCAGTCTAGTCGGCACAGGTACAGCTAGTTCACCACCACCACCGAAGAGGACATCTTTCTCATACGAGAGGTCTTGAACTTGGCCTGAGAAAAGCGGCGGCGGCGATGGTGATGATGGAGGTGACAGTGCAGCTACTGATAAGGGTGAACTGATACTGCTAAAGAAGAAGAAGCTAAAGACACTAAAGTCAGCAGAAGCAGCAACAGCAAGAGCGGAAATGTATGCGCGCGCGAGCCGTTATCAGATCAGGAGAGGCTGCTGCTGCTACAGCAGAAACAGAAAAGATCAGATCACACACACCTAAGCATGACCTACATCCTAAGCAGCAGCAGCAGAAGCGGCAGCTAAGGAGGGTCAGCGGCGGCAATGAAAACAAGAAGTGTGCACTGAGCACACAGGCAGGCAGTGATATGCCCTATCAGGACGCCATGAGGAGATGTAGCAGAAGAAGAAGTGGAAGAAGTGGAAGAAGTGGAAGAAGAAGTTGATCGCACTTACCATTGAGGTCATTCTGCTGCTGATGTTGCAGTTGTTGCTGCTGCTGATGGTGGTGATGGTGATGGTAGAAACGGTGGTGGCGATGGTGATTGCGCGAGCACTCACTTCAGGAGAGGCTCTTCTGCTTCGGTTGCGGTACTTCTGCTTCTGAGGATATTTCTGTTCAAGAAGAAAGAAAAAAGAAATTGATTAATTCACAGTGAACTACCACACCACACAATACAAGAACAGCAAATAAAGCGGACAGTTTACTAGTAGTACTAAGGGGACAGCTCATAGACACTCCTCAGGACATTTCTTACACACCGTTAATTTGATTGATTTGGCACTGATTCTTGCGCTCTCGCACTTGGCAGAACAAACACTGCAACTAACTAACTACCAAGATCGATGTTCCGCTAGCTGCTGCTGCTGCTGCTGCTGCTATTGTCTTACAACTCTCTCACTCAATTTCCTCTCCTTCAGCCTCTGTCAAGTTCAAAGTCACCAGGACTGCCAAGTCTGGATCCTCTCTTCAACTCTTCTTCCTCGCTTCATTGACTTGATCAGTAGTGTTCGGTAGTTCTTTCTCTCTCATCACACCACAGCACACATTTCACGTCTGATTAATCAAATCAACAAGCAAAGGGTAGAAAATGAAGAGAGAGAGAGAGAGAGACAATGGAAGACGCGGGAAAGACAATTGAGTGACTCAGACAGTGGTAGCTGGGAAGCAGAGCTGATCTGATTAAATATTTGACATAGTGTGCACAACGAGCTGCTGCTGCTGTGGTAGTTGGAAAGAAAAGAAGTGGAGGATTTTTTCAGCCTAAGCAGATCANAAGACAATGGCAGACGCGGGAAATTGAGTGACTCAGACAGTGGTGGCTGGGAAGCAGAGCTGATCTGATTAAATATTTGACATAGTGTGCACAACGAGCTGCTGCTGCTGCTGCGGTAGTTGGAAAGAAAAGAAGTGGAGGATTTTTTCAGCCTAAGCAGATCATCATCAGTCAGTAAAACTGACAAATGGGCTTCCTTTAAGAACTTGGACAAACAGACTTACCCAAAGTACAAGCGAAGGTGGTCTTCGTCGTCGATTGATGAGAACCTACTCGGTGTGGAGTCACAAACATACACCTCCACACAAACACAAGCCGGTGTTCAGGACACTAAACACACAGACACACCTGCTGCTGACAAAGAGGAGTTCAGAAGAGAGGAGGAGGTCTTGAAGACTTAGACTGGTGAACTGATGATCAGAAGAACAGAAGAACTCTCTTCTCAGGATAAAGACATTGACCAGCTAAAGATGATGATGACGGCGATGACGATGACTGCCCGTGTCGACGACCAAAGTGAGACTGAGACAGTGGTGGTGGTGGTGATCGGCAAAGGAGGAGGATGACAGTGGAGAGAAAGAAAAAGAGCAGGAGATGATGAGGAGCGGATAATGACCGACTGACTGACCAACTGCTGCTGCTGCTACTCTACCACACACACACACACACTGACACAGTGAGAGGGGGATCTGCTAAGAAGAAGTAGTCGAGGATCAGCAAGAAGAAGAAGAAGAAGAAGAAGGTGAACTGAAGATCAGCAGCAAGTGATGATGAGCTCGAGGCAGCAGGAGAAGATGGTGAACAGGTGAACAAGACACACACACACAACGAGCGAGAGGAACTTGCAGTATAAATCAAGCAGCCCAGACCGACACGGGCAGTTTTATGAGGAGCAGCAGCAACGGCAACGAGGGAGAAGCATCCTCCTCTCTTCCCAGGGAGCTCTCTTTTTCGAAGAAGAAGAAGAAGAAGAGAGATAAGAGCAGCAGCAGCAGAGGTGAAAAGAGAAAAGCAGGTGAGGTAAGGCAAGGTAAGGCAAGGTAAGGTCGTCGACGACAGGTAGAAAACGAGAGAGAGAGAGAGCCTCGTGTCCGAACGGGAGAGAAAAGTACCGTTGGCGACTCTGCCTTCTCCTTCTCCTCTCCCGACGATCCTGTTTATAAAAATAGCCAATAGTTTGCTCTCTCTCCTCAAAGGCCTCTGTGTGCTAACGAGACGCCCTCAGTCAGGCAACGAAGACGGCGGCGGCGGCGGCGTTTGTAGTCGCTGCAGCAGCAATAATAATAATAATAGGGATCGTTTACTTACCCCGTCCTCCTTCTTCGTGTACTCCTGGCGTCAGTACAACTCACTTCGCTCTTCAACGACGGTGCCAATGAGGCGCAAAGGAAGAAGAAAAAGAAGCAGGCAAAGAAGGCGACTGCCTGCTAACGGTGTCGGCCTGAAGAGGGGGGAACAAGGGAGAAGAAGGTGAAGGCGCTTCAAGAAGTCAAACAGTGCCTGAACTCATGAAAGAGCAGCAATGGATGCTCGACACTTCTTCTTCTTCTTTGCTGTCGTTGCAGCGAGATTCCAGCAATAACAGCAGCAACAGCGGACATTTTTGAGGGCAGCAGGTGAAGAGGAAAAGAGAGAGGGGAGAAATCGTCGAATGACGCCACCAATGCTGCCCCGTCAGTTGAATGGAATCCTGCAATGAAAAGAACAGTGGGTCAGTGAAATGTGATCATGAAGAGAATCGAAGCAAGTTTAGAAAACAAAAAGCATTTCAGAAATATAAAAAACAACAGCAGTGAAGGTGAACCAATTAGGGCGGCAAGCTAACAATCTCTGGTAAACTTTCCCTTTAGTCTGTGTGTCACCA